CTCAATAAAGCAGGGGGGTCCGGGGAAAATTTGTCCCCAGGGAAAATTTGGAATTTTCAAAGCCGTTTGGTGACTTTCTAAAGCCATTTTTAACATCTAAAACCTTGCCTAATTGTCCATAAACTCCGCATTTCACCTGTTGCTTGTCATGAGCAAATAGACATTTAAAAAATTAAACTATGGCGATTGCATTCATGAATTTCAAAACACTGTAGACTACGGCCATATCCTCCTAAAAAAGCCGTTGGGTGACTTTCTACAGCCAGTTTTAACGTCTAGAACTGTGTGCAAAACCTCCCATTTCCCCATTTTTATTTGTCATGAATAAGTAGACATTTTAAAATAAAACTAACTATGACGATTGCATTCATAAATCTCAAAACATATTGTAGGCTACGGCAATATCGTCCTAAAGGCTGTTTACTGACTTTCTAAAGCCATTATTGATGTATATTTGTCTCCAACTATCCAAAAACCTGCCATTTCACTTGTTATTTGTCTTTGTCATGAGCAAGTAAGTAGACATTTTAAAAATCAAACTATGACGAACTTGCATTCATGAATTTCAAAACATAGGCCTACTGTAGACTACGAAGCCATATCTCCTAAAAATAAGCCGTTTGGTCACTTTTATATGGCTACTTCTAACGGCTAGAACTGTGCTCAATAATTATCCTAAAACCTTCCATTTCACCTATTACCTATATGCTGTTTATATGTCATGCAAGCAAGTAGATACGTTTTTTAAACTTATGTTTTCTACAGTCCATTTCATAGATCTGTCACAATATGTACAGTATCGAATTCAGTACCGGAAATAGCATTGACTACACAAAACTTTAACATTAGTGTTTATATAGTAAATGGTAAAAGGCTACTGGTGCTACCGCTGATTGCTGATTGATGCCTGTGGCCTGTGTAAAGTTAGTGGCTAGCAGACAATTTGACAACTATGGAACATCAGGAAATCAGCTGTTTTCCCGTCCTTGTATGGGTCCTTGCTCGCGCGCTCGGCGCTCGCCTTTGCCCTAGCATGTCAACAGCTGACTGCTGTAAAAATTGGATGATGCGTATAACTAACTTTCCATTGCGTAATATTGTTTTATTTGCGGTGCTATTGTCCACAAAGTTGATCGATGTGGAACTTAATTTACTACTCCTGCCATCGCTTATTAAGTTTAATAAAATCTACATTGATGTCTGTTTTATGACATTGCGTGTTTTAAGGGCGAAATGTACGTTTAAATTTATTTTTCCAGGGTCCAAGGGGGGGGGGGCTTTAGCCCCTGTAGCCCCCCCCCTTGGAACCGCCACTGCCAGGCGTTCTTGTTCGTTACCATTTTTATGAATGGTGGCTATAGCTAAAACTACCTGATCTTATCTAAAAACAAAGCTACTGTCTATTGAGTAGCTCAGTACCGGGGAACGGGGAACCGAGCAATGGCTTGGTATACACTCGATTATAAAAACAATATAAAGGAAACCCAACACTCAAATGAGGAAAATCCGTCAAGTCGTTGATTAAGAATCGTGAATTAAAATAACCCTGTTCCGTTTTATTATATCTTCTCCTATTATTTACTAGAGGTGCATAGGTGTACAATCTAAAAACTGTTTTAAAACATGTAACATTATTACTAAAAAATTCAACACATTTTAGAATTAGGCAACTATTTACTTGTAGACCTACAATGCTTTGGTTTAAACTATTAGGCCTCGATTTAGGCCTAAGCTATTCTATAATTGATATGAAACTTAGTCTATGTCATATTTTTTTACACGTAAGTTGGAAGATTCAACGACGAACATTTAATTTTAAATCTATGAATTAGTTATGAAAGTTACAATGGTTGATTTACTGTATTAATTGATGGTTTTGGTTTATTACGACATTACGATTAAATTTGTTTTCCGTGTTTGAGAACTTGCGTGTATTTTAGCTTAATTTCGTAGATGTTTAATTATTTAGTACCAATTAAACTGAATTTTCAATATTTTTCATATTTTATTATTTTTTTTATACTGATAGCATTTATGTTTAAGATCAAAATCATAAACATTTAATTAATTGGCCATTGTACAGTTCAATAAAAAACACTTTTTCATTACTTTTAAATTGTTTTTTAATTACTTTGGGCTAGTTATCTGTTCAAAGTGGAGTTGATAACAAAAAACAATAACATTTACTGTATCTTCATTGACACTGATATTTTGAAATACGGCAGTGTACGATTATTTCGTCGTGCAAGGTTGGCAACGCTCCATGCAGTGGGCGCGGCTGGGTTAGCGACTTCCAGAGTTAGCGAATTCCGCCGCGAGACAAAATCGAGTTAGCGGGTTCTGGAGTTAGCCAATTCCTGACTGAGACGGTTAGTCAGTTCCAGAGTTAGCCAGTTCCGACACACGACCGAGTTAGCGAGTTCCTGAGTTAGCCAATTCCTACGTCTCAAATTTTACACTTGCACTAACTGTCATCGCCAACAACTAACAGCTTCAAACCAATCACCGATTTGTTCGCGTTGTCGTTCAAATGCAACTAAACTTACGGCAATCAGATAAATTTTTCATTCTCTAGAACTTAAATAATATTGGACAAACAAACGGTGAATCTGTTGAAAGGGAACATATTGTAGGTTGTTGGCTGCTTTAGCCATTGACAAACTTTAAATAATGCTTCGCTCATTTATGCGTCTAAAGTGTAACGGCAGACCACCCTAGTTTATGTTATAACTACAAGAAAGACACACAAGAAAGAAAAACATATTGGTTACGTTCATTTAGGTGGACTTAAGACTGATAATCACGAAAATTAGTGACGGAAGCACTGGTATTTCAATTACGAGTTTTTAAAAGTAATTTTTAGGTTTAGACTTTTTAGGTTTAAAAGTGTGTGGTTGAGTATTTCTACTCAATTTACAGATTATGTAACTAAAGGCAAGTTAATTAGGGCTCATGATGATTGTTAAGTTTATTTATCGGTCATTGGTGGAGCAATTCTATGAGCCAGAATATTGCAACACCAATGAGATGAGAGTAAGTACTTGCAATTATTCTATGGAATTTTTTATAAAGGCCACAAAGCAAATGCTTCTTTTGTATCACATGAATTTCTATTAATTAAGGTGATATGTTACTATTTTTGCAAAGTGTATTGCCTAAGGCAAAAAACTTGCCAAACTCATATTGTTCAAAAGTATTTAAAACATTGGGTTTGTTCAAAATATTATCGAAATAAATTAAGGTTTAAAAAGACTGTAGTTGTTTTTTTTAACATTAAATACAATAAGATAAACCCATCTGTATTAATTTTAAACTAATAATCTTAACTCTAAAATGGTCGAAAAAGTGATAACTATGAATTCACTTTTAGAGAGTTTAAAGTAATTTTTATTTTGTAAGCAAAACAGAAATATGGAGAGTGAAGTAAGGAAAAAAGGTTAGAAATACAATAGCATTATTCAAACCCAATATTAACCGACCAGGATGCAGCTAAAGAGAGGCGTTTTATAATGGTTTATGCAGGGCAGCAGTGGCTTTTGCCATGCAGTGGTGGGGGGAGCGCCGGACCGCCGGGCGAACAAAGAATGCTCAATCCAGAAGTATATCGTTGCCCTACCCAACAGCTAGAAAATGGCTGGCCTACTTTCCTTCTAAGGCTTTATTAATGTATTTTATTGCTGACATAGAGTCAATATATAACATGATGAATTTGTTTTCTAAATTCATATGTTATTTTGCGGTGAATTGAGCCACATGGGTTTACTAGTATTATCTATTCACCATGTAAGAGATATATAGTGACGGTAGTGGGTGTAATGTATTAGGTAACTGAAGTTGTACTAGAGTAAATATCTTTCTCATTTTTGTGAGCTGGCAACAATGATGGTCTGATGATGTATAAAGACAGTCTGATACAAATAAAGCACTCTAAAATGGTGGTGATTTTCATCCCCCTTACACCGGTCGCTAATGTTACCACCCAATTACAGTCCAATTTCTGTACTTTCAAAAAAGGAGAATTATTTCAATATGTTAAAAAATAACTATAACAAGTAGAGCGTGTTTCACCAGTATCAATACCACGGTGGAAGGAGGCAATAACTACTTGGTTATTTTAAGCTAAATAAGGCTTGTTTCACATCCACTTGGCATGCCGTTAACCCGACTTCTAGCCGGCATCGGCACGGGTGCACCTTTCACATTACGCCGACACCGGCACTCCAGCAGTTGTACTCCAGCTTGTGAAACTTGTGTGTCGTAGGGATAGAAATGGAACGTAATAGAGCAATTGTAATGTTAGGCCTACTTAGAAATAACTTTTATTGAAACTGTATTTATATTTGGATTAAAAAAAATTAAATTGAGTTTGAATCTGAGTAAAATTCAATTCAATGTTATGTAATAAAAAAAATATAAAAAAAATTCAATTTAATTCAAATAATTCTGCTCTTGAACTAAATTAATAAGTAGTTCATGGTCTATTTCCGAAATGACAAAAACTTTGCAAACAAATACCCAAAAGTAATACACAATAACTACAAACAACTGAACTAAAAGTACACTTGGTGCACCCGCAGACGGCAGGTGCCGGTTGTATATGAACAGTCACATTGGGCCGCTATACCCACTACTCCAGCCGGCTTGTTTGCCCGACACTGGCAGCCGGCCTTCGCCGAGGGGGCACCCGGCATCCCTCGACTAGTACCCGGCAGCCGGGCAAGTGATTAACTGTCAACGACACATGCCGTGCATATGTGAACAGTCCCATATACTTCTTCGCCCCATTGCCTGTTAAACGACATCCGGCACCCAACAGCCGGGTAGATGTGAAACAGGCCTAAGAGTGAATGATGAGTGTGGGATAGAGTGAGGCTGTTAGAGTAGTTTTGTTATTTACTCAGACTGGCTGTTTTAAACCTAAACCATAGCCAAGAACAACTAGGTCCAGAACCACCAAAAAGCTACTGACTTCTCTGAACTACATTCTGATTATGGCTTACGTCACTGGCCCTCCACACTTTGATTGTCCTGTCCTGTGAGGCAGAGTAGATGAGGCCAGTGCCGCCCCAGCGTAGAGCCGTCACACTGCGAGTGTGTGAGGTCAGCACTCTCAGACACCTACACAACACTGAATCCCACACTCTCACGTCTCCGTCCTTGGAGCTGCTGGCGAACAAGCGACATGCCGGGTCTGTCAACAAACACACCATTGATAAGTGCAATTCAATCCCATTCAATTTCTGTGTGGAATGACTACAATGTAGCGGATGAGACATGACAATCCCTTATGGCACAGATTAGTGATTATATTATACTAGAAAAACACACACCAGATTAGGGACTTGCACATAGACATCTCGACTACTTCATGACTTTTTTTAGCATGCTGCATACAACACAGTTTGTCAACTTCTCACATTTTGGTTGCAGTGCAAACAGGGACATGTGGCTGAGTGAAAGAGTAGAGTACCATTTTTTAGTTAAAGCAAAGGTGTTTTTACTTAGTCGGTTTGTTTTTTTTTTGTTTTTGTTTTTTGCCTTATGTTATTTGTGATAGGTAATGGTTTCAAGCTGGCAAAAAAGTTTTCGATGAAAGATAATATTTCTTCAAGCCTTGAATGAATTTTACAAAAGAGATACTACAATAATTTTAATAATTTTTCACATCATTATAAATGATAGTTTTTTTAAGTTTTCGTGATATCTGACCTAAATTATCCAACATAGCCAAAACAACCATGAAAATGAGTTCAGTTCGTACTTGAGCTCTCTTTCAATCAACATTTTTAGTAAACATTCAATCAACTAACTTAGTAGTAGGTCAGGCCCTTCATCAAACGACGTAATAAGCACCTTCCCTAGAAAACCATTAACGAAAAATAAAATTTTTCAAACCATTTGGTGACTAGTAACCACAGTTATACATGTGTAGATGAAAACTTGAAACCTCTACATCAGCGGTTCCCAAACTCTTCGGTATGGCGAATCACCTACATCTTGGATTTTTGTTCGCGACCCACCTCTTAAATCATATTAATATAATTAGTAATTAATTACTTATTGTTATTAATATTATCATGTTCTAAAATGTGTACTAAGAACATTTTTTAGGGTGGTGTGAAATACAATATTTAGTCCAAAATACAATTGTTTCAGAAATTTTAAATGGTTGAGATGTGGAGTTTACTATTTACAAGAGGCTGTGTCTCAATTGAATGTTGATAACTATTGTAGGCACTGGATATTATCTATTTTTCCTCTTATTTATGTAATAGGCATCAGTTTGTTGAAATAAAATATCTAGATTATGGTAATTATTGTAATTATTTAATAAGCTATGTCTGTGAAGCTCAGGTGATTAAGTATGGAGTACCTCAGGGATCCATCATGGGTCCATTACTTTTTTTGTGTTACCTGGATGGTCTGCCTAAGAGTACCAGCTTCAGTTCGATGTCACTATATGCAGATGACGCTAATTTAATTGTTAAAGGAAATTCCAGTTCTGATATTGAGCTCTCAGCCAATTTGGACTTAATGAGTATTCAAAATTTTTAAAATCAAAATAACCTTCTATTAAATACAAGCAAATCAATGACAGTTTCTCCACATAACAAAATAAAATAGCTCTGGATCCAAAAATCAAAGTTGGCAATAACATACTAAATAAAGCAAATCAGACAAAATGTTTAGGACTTTTCATTGATCAACATCTATCTTGGAATGATCATGTTGATAATGTAGTGAAAAAGATGTCGTCAGGAATATATGCACTGTAGCAAATGTCAAAAATATCTGACCTTACAGGGCTGAAAACAATATATTATCTAACAAAAAACCACTAAGTGGTAACACTTTCCCCGCCAAGTCAGCAATCCAAAAAAGATAATAAATCATTACTTTTTCCGCCAAGAAAAACAATGTAATGTATGTAAGTTTGGCAACTTGGCGGCAGACTTTTGCTTGGTTATTTACATTAAAGTTATGTTTGTGGATAATTTCACAAATCAACTTCTCTAATTAATTAGTCCAACTAAGTACAATAATTTCGAGGTAAGTTAATCAGTAAATATAAAACCATCACTATTATGATTTTATGAAATGTGGCACAAATAAGGTAAAAATTTGTAAAATAAGCTCTCACCTAGCAATGTACTAATGGGAGAGATACTTGCTCAATGAAACTAGTTTTATGATATTTTTTAAAGTGATCGAGCAAAAGTCTGCCGCCAAGTTGCCAAACTTACATACATTACATTGTTTTTCTTGGCGGGGAAAGTGTTACCACTTAGTGGTTTTTTGTTAGATTTTATTTATTTTTGTTGAAAATTAACAGTTAAAATAAAAATCCTCTTTTCTCTGATATAGACCACGGCACAACTACATCTCATTTAATTTCAATAATATTGTTTGTGTAGAACAAAATTCTACATTTTTGGTCTTATCTGCTTTAAACAGATTAAAAACTTGTTGACACACGTACCAAAATTTATATTTAACAAACCCCCTGGGTTTAAACTCAGTTTCAAATTTCATCAATGGTCATCTTGAACAACATAAAATGCGTTGGTGTTACATAAGTGTTCTGATAATAAAACCCGTATATCTAAAGACTAGTGTAAATTTAGCCCTTATTAGAGAAGTAAAATGTAATCAAACAGATTAGGTTTGTTATAAATAGCATAAGGCAAAACAAATATTAAATAACTCAATTATCCTAAATTTACATCTCACTTTGTAATTGCTTGTTAACATACGTAGAGTGATTTTCCCAATTGTTTTATTTGTTTTAGTGTATCAAAACATAAAACAAACCTTAGTACTAGTACTACGTTTCAAGTTCCCAGGTTTCATATGTTTTGATAAGTAGTATTAAAATTAAACTGTTAAAAATGACGAGCTGCTGTACCAGTGTACCATCGGTATACTGCTGCAAGTATCGGGGAATATCACTGCTCTAAGTAATTTGATATAGTAAGTAGTTCAAATCATTCAGTATACCTGAAAAAATACTTTATAAAAGTTTTAAAATAATTTTTCAGCTGTTTCTAAGAATTTCTCTAACATTCAAATTAATTGAGATTTAATCGCAGCTGGTCCTTCTTTTGTTTTGATTTTAATCCCATGTTATTTAAATGGGCCAAGATCGTACTTTGAGGGCTTGCCAAGAGTTTATGGGTCAATGCATCGACTTCAGACCCTCAAAAGACACATCTACACATTAAGGGCTTTCAAACAACATAAAGAACAATAAAATTGAGCCAGTGGTTTGGGCTGTAGGTCCGTCAACATTCAAGGAGAAGGAGGAGAAGGAGAAGGAGAACACGGAAAATTTTCGAATTTTCAAATTAGTTTTTCTTGGCTCAAACACAACCGTTTTTTGAATTCTTTTTTTTATTTTGTTGAGAATGAGCGCCCCTATCCAGTAGATGAATAATTATTTTATTAGCTTTTGTTTCTTCAGAGCTATAGACGAGTAAAAAAGCCACTTTGTCACGTCATGTATATATACACTGCAGCAGCTGTGTACCGCTGGGGGACTTGGCGGGGCGGAACGCAGCCGCGTTCCTTAATTCTTTAATGCACTCTCATCTGGCATACGGAATTTGTATATATGGAGCTACCTCAATATATGATTTGGACAAAATTCTGATAAAACAAAAAAAAGCAATACGAATCATGTTAGGTTTAAAAAGCACAGAGAGTGTCGAAAACTTCTTTAAAGATCTTAAAATTTTGACAGTTTACAGTCTTTGTCTAGGAAACAATAAAGTATGTCAAAGAACATGAAAGTGATATATTTTTTTTAATCCAAGCATCATTTTATGATACCCGAAATAAAATTATTTTTGACTAGGAACAGTGCCCGTTGTGGTTAAATACAACGGTCTCTAGTAAAATAATGGTTATGAAATCCATACACTACTTTACTCACTAATATTAATGGTAAAGTTTAACCCATTGGAGACTGAATATTCTTTGACATAGCATGACCATCAGAACCCTATTAAAAGTAGCAAATTTGTAAGGTTTCAGTATAAAATTAAAAACAAGTCTGTTTTTTGACCTACATACATGCAATTTGTGTTATCTTACTCAGAAATAAATTTCCTTTCAGATAACACAAGTTTTTAATTCATATAAAAAAATATATATTTTTTTATCCTAAGTTAAATTTATAAAAAAAAAATAAAAAAATATTTTTTGAAAGCATGGATCAAAAAATATTTTATTTTTATGTGCTAGAGTTTTATAACTGCCATACATGTATACTCTATTAATTTCCTTACATGGAAATATAAAATATATTTGTGTATCTCTTATACTTTTTTTTTATAATTTTTTTTGTAAACCCCGACAAATATGAACATGAAGTCATTTTTCACTATCTAACCAAAAATAAAAACATATCAAAATATTTTTCTGTTGTGGTTAAATTTATTACTTGACTGCATAACAATTATAAACAATAATACTAGTGAAAATAAAAAAATGATAAAAAAATGGAATCTTACCATAAATGAATTATCCAATGCACTCGATTGAAGTTGGTAGAGGCACACAAATCCAGGATTTCATATACAAATTTCATGTTCACTCACAAACAACTTTTCCTAACCTTTTTATAAACTTAGGCAAAATTTAGCCTACCCTACATAATATTTACACTATTTACAAGTTTGTCGAGGTCCTTTCTAATAATTGGACGTAGTGTGGTAGGTCTCGAAACATCCTTCGAGATGGAGTGGCACTTGGCATTTTTTGCATAACCACCTAACTTCTGATCGGAGTTTTTTCTTGTAGCAAACTTTACAATTCCTTGTGGGAAATTGTTTTTTTTCTGTGGGGGGGATTAACATGGGGAAATGGCCCCATGCTTTGCTCTGCAGGCGCATTGGGTTGTCTTTTGATGGACGACCTGGACTTGCACGATTTGGTAAAACAACATTTTCAAGGATTTGCTCTACTAAATCGATCCTGTAATCTCTGTAATGTACCTTCTTACCATGGATCATTTTCCATATACAAAAGGAATTAAAAATAGTCATGTCAATCATATAAAAAAACAACTTTTTGTAAGATTTGACAGTTCGTCTCATTATCGGGTGACTGGCCAACATCTGGTCCTGTACATCGACCCCCAACATTCCTTTGTTATACTCGATTACGCATTTCGGTTTCATGATCTGTCTC